AGAACTCAACAAAAAGATAGCAAATAAACCAATCAAAAAATGTGCAGAAATGCTAAATAGGTACTTTTCCAAAGAAACATACTGATGACCAATAGGCATATGAAAATATGTTCATTATCACTTATCAGGGACATGTAAATGAAAACCAAAATGAGAGTCTCCCTGATGGCGCAGTTAAACGCAGCACTGTGCAGCTGTCCACATCTTCTGCAGCGCAGGTTCGATACCAGCTACCTCACCTGCTGCTCACCTCAGCAGTGTATTTCAGTCAGTCTACCTATTCTGTTCCCCACTCTGTCTCTGGTGAATCCTCTCACCCTCCCGCACATCTGGCCTGTACCCCAGTTCTTGTTTGTGTGAATAAATAAATCTTTTTAAAAATGAGCTACCACCTCACACCAGTGAGAATGACCCATTTAAAAAAAATACAAGCAAGGGTGTGGTGGAGAAAAAGAACACTTTTACACTGTTGGTAGGTACATAGACTGATCAAGCTTCTGTGGAAAGTACAACAGTAATGTAGATGTTCTTTAAATGATTATGTAACCCAGCAATTCCACCACCAGGTGTCTACACACAAAAACCACAAAAACGTTAATTCCAAAGGAAACCTGCACTCCTACGCTTATTGCAGCACTATTTACAATAGCCAAAATATGGAAACAATTAAGTATCCCAAAACAGATGAGTGACTCAAGAACATATGGTCTACATACACAACAGAATACTAGTCAGCAACCAACCAATTGGCATAAATTCATGCCAATTGTGGCATCATGGATGGAACTGGAAGGGATTGTGCTAATAAGCTAAAAGAAGAAAGATCAATATCAGATGGTTACACTTATATGTGGATTATAAGAAACCAAACAAAGGCTCAAACAAAGACAAACCTTAAGACCAAACCTTGAAATCTGACTTTAAATCTAGGCATCCAAGAGGGGAGGAAGAGGAAGGAGATTGTTGACTATGGAGGTGGGGGGTGGGAAAGCACAGTCCTCTATGGTTCAAGACTATGGTGTTCTGATGATGGGAGTGCTGTCACCACCCTGAGGGGAGAAATCCTATACTGTTCAAAATAAATTAAGGATCTTAAACAATGATACTTAATTTTAAATATATATTCAAATTACTTCATAATTAATAGTAGTCAATTTCTTATATTTTTATTAATTATAATAAATGGCCTGCTATTAAATGTGAAGTAATTTGAATATGTTCTTATATCTTCAGGTGGCATATTGTGTAGGCATAATGATTATTCAGACAATTATTATTCTCAGAGTTAACTTATATTTTTGGGTTCAAAGATGCTTTTACAAAATTTAAAAAAAAAGTGTTTTTTTTTTTTTTTTTACATTTTGCTCTTGAACTTTTCCTCAGCCTCTTAATTAAAATCTATGTAGCTCTCACCCTTATAATTTTTTGTAGGCTCAGTTCAATTATCATGCACTAAATACTTTGTCTCAGTAGGTGTTATTCATTTTGACCTGGAGAATATTTGCATCCACCTGAGACCATTATTCCCCCAAGATCCGTTCTAGGAGTCAATCCACTCAGGACTGCATGGACCCAGTCTCTGTGGACATCTAAAGGAAAATATCCTCTCCTTACTACAGTGAATACTACCTTTTCTCTATTACTTGGTTTTCATAATAAATAAGGCATTTTTCTAGTATTAAACAAGAAGATTGTTTTTTCATCATTATTGCAGAAAGTGCATACATATTGAATGACTGAATGTTCTTTCATCAAGGTATTCTTTTTGTACTTCTCAGATTTTTATATTTACTAAGAATATTTATAAGTTTCCTCTCTTGACATGAGATTTCTATAATGACTATTTTAACCTCTTTGTGAGAAAAGCATCAAGATAGGTATATGATTAAATATATTTGATTATTTCCTTAATTATTGTGCTTTTTTTCAATGACCCAACAAAATAATTTAGCTCAAAGAGTTTAACATTTTTCTTTTAACCAGTACTGAAGATATCGAACTTTAACTTGGGGCTGAATTGAAAGCAATTTATGATGCAGGATGTTGATTTTGCTCTCTGCCATTGATCTCTGTTCTCTGATATAATGGGAAAAAGGGGGACTTTTTTAGGAGTAAGACTCCTAAAGATTTCCTGATGTGTGTATGGAGATTTCATGTAGATTCGATTTAAATGCTCTGTAAGCTCATATGTAGGACGGTGAAAGACAGCTCATTTTCTGTCATTATAAAGTTGAGTAAATTGAAACTCAAGTTAATTTGTAGCTTTTTCAAATTTAAAGCAATTTGACTATGTTAGAATATTACAAGAATCTCATATTCATAAAACCATGTATATACTTAGTTTTATTCAATTTATTAACTTGTTTTCCTAATCTTTTGAGTGAAATGTTGAGACATATGAAGGAAGTGGATCTGGACTTAGGATGCTCTTATGTAGTAAAAGAGCAGATGTGCATCCTATATAGCCAGAAGGAAGAAAATTCCAGATGAGTGGGCAAGTTGCGGAGTTTTGTTCTGTCTCTACCACATACCAAGAACTCTCTGGCTGTTTTCTCTTCTCAGAGGTCATTCTAATTCTGAATCAAGTGTGTAGAGGTAGAAAGTCCTGAAATTACTGGATAGGTAGGGTAGAGTTTTTCCACAAAATCAGTGCATGCATGCTACTTTGAAATTTGTCAATGTTGTAGACCACAGAGAACTGAAATGAGAACCCATGCTTGTGTACCCTCATGCCACGTGGAGAATACCTCCCCAACTTGAGCATTCTCCTGTCAACAGGGAGAAATATCATTGAGGTACATTTATTCAAGCTACAGGTACATGATTATAATTTTTTTTGTAGTTTGTTGATATCAAAAGAATTCCAAAAGAAGTCTTCAGATTAAGTGTAGATTTAAAATACACATATTAATAAAATTTTTATTAATACACATATTAATATATTTTATAATATATAATATTTAATATATAATATAATACCCATGTTAATATATTTATTAATACACATATTAATATGATATTTATATTATAAATACTATAAATTGGCAGGCTTATTGTAAAAAAACAATATTGTCAAAATCACATTAAATTTAATGATTATGATGTGTGTAGATGTGCAAAAGGAATCGTGTCTCTTTAATGTAACTTTGAAGAATTTATGAAATAAATGCATCAAACAATTTGCCAAAGATTTTAAATAAGATTTATTTATGTATTTATACAAGAACCAGGTTACAGACCAGATGTGGTGGAAGGTGAGAGGATTCACCAGAGACAGAGTGGGGAACAGAACAGGGAGACTAACGAAATACACTGCTGAGGGGAGCAGCGGGCGCAACAGGAGAGGTCCGCTGGCCATGTGGGTAGCTCTCTGGCCAGCTAGTGATCAAACTCATGCTGCAGAGCCTGTGGATACCTTCACAGTGCTGTGCTTAACCCCTTGCACCACCAGGGAAGTCCAGTAGTTTGACAATTTAACATGAGTTGTTATGACAATAAACACAATGTCTTTCCATTTGTTCGTGTCTCTGTTCAATTTTTAGCAAAGTTTGTGGTTTTCATTGTATAAATCTTTCACTTCCTTGTTTTTCCTTATATTTCAAATGTTGTACTGTTTTCTAATGACATTATGAATGGGATTGTCTACTTCTTTTCTAGATGTTTCATCTAGAAATTTTTTGATTAATTGCCATAATTAATGTATGCCAGTTTTTTGTAGCCTCAACTTTACTGAAATTATTTCTAAGAGTTTTTTGACTGATTCCTGGGGTTTTCCTATTTATAAAGCAATATTATAAGTAAATAAGGGTAATTTTACTTCCTCTTTTCCAATGTTTGTCTCTTTTATTTCTTTGTCATTCTTACTTGTTCTAGCTCGGACTTCCAGTACTATATGATTAAGAGTGGTGGGAGTGAGTATACTTGTCTTGTTCCTGACCTATGGAAAACTGTTTCAGCTTATCTCCATTTAGAATAATGTTTGCTGTAGTTTTTCCATATGTGGAATTTATTAGGTTGACAGATGTTTCTGTTATATCCAGTCTAATAAGTTAATAAATGTTATTCTGCATCTATTGAGATAGTCACATAATTTTCTTCATTGCATTGTTGTGATATTTACACATTTATTAATGTGTAAATGTTAAACCATTCTTTTAACCCCAGATAAATCTCACTTGTCATGGTGTATAATTATTTCATTCTGTTATGTTATTGAATTATTAAATACAGCTTGTTATATTTTGTAGAATATTGGTCTATAGTTTTCTTTACACAGGTTTTCCTTATCTTGTTTTGGTATCAAAGTATTGCTGGACTTGTAGAATGAGTTTTTAAGTGTTCACTCCTTGATATATTTGAAGTTTCTGAGGAGGATTGCTGCTAATTATTTTTATAAATATTTGATTAATCATTTGATGATAAACTTCTGATGTCAAAAATCTTGGGGGTAGAAGAAAAATAATGCTCTAAAATCCAAGAAAGATGTTAACAGCATCAGAATGATAAAATACCATTCCCGCAATACTCATAATGTGTATTCATATATACACACATATATATACATATATGTAATCAGAGTTGTAAATTAATTTGTTGAAGTAAATTAATGATTTTTCTATACTACTTATAAGGTATAGAATAGTATACTGCTATATTTTTCTGGTGAATAGATTTTTTTGTTGTTGTTTTGGAAACTCTAAAATTGTTTGAACTCCATTTTGCAGAGTACTGAATACTAATTAAGATATTAATTAAAAATTTGAAAATTACTCACTCAAAATTGAAGTTGGCAGTTATCTTATAGAATTTATCCATGTCAAAAACCTAGCTACCACCACCCTACATAAGTAGTATAGAAGACATATAATTTACTCTTTTCATTAATTAAATACAGTTCTTAAAATTCTTTTAAAAATAATTATTATTTTTATCTTCTCATTCATGCTTATAATCATTGCATTTTCCCCCCTTAACAATCAGGATACAGAATTTCCTGTCTAATGGACAATCTCACAGAAGTGACAGAATTCCTGCTAATGGGATTTTCTGACAACTTGGAATTGCAGATACTACAAGGTGGACTATTTCTTTTGATTTATTTTGCAGCACTGGTAGGAAATCTTATCATTGTGATTATCATTACTTTTGATCAGTACCTTCACACTCCCATGTACTTTTTTCTGAAGAACCTCTCCTTTTTGGATTTGTGCTATATCTCAGTAACTGTGCCTAAGTCAATTCACAACTCCCTGACTCATAGAAGCTCTATATCTTATCTTGGTTGTGTGGCTCAAGTTTATTTTTTCTTTGCATTTGCATCTGGTGAGCTGGCCCTTCTCACTGTCATGTCCTATGATCGCTATGTTGCCATTTGCTACCCCCTCCAATATGAAACGATTATGACATCAGGGAAATGTCACCAAATGGCAGTCATGGCCTGGCTAAGTTGCTTTTCTTATGCAGTGGTACACACAGGCAACATATTTTTGGAGCCCATTTCAAGATCCAACCTGATCAACCAGTTCTTCTGTGACATACCCCACGTTTTGGCCCTGGTTTCCTGTAAGGTATTTTTAATTGAATTTGTGACCCTGACTCTGAGTTCTTGCTTGGTTTTAGGGTGTTTTATTCTTATGGTCACTTCCTATATCCATATCTTCTCAACAGTGTTCAGAATACCTTCAGTTGAGAGTCGAGCAAAAGCCTTCTCTACTTGTACCCCACAACTGATTGTCATCATTCTCTTCCTCACAACAGGGCTCTTTGCTGCTTTAGGACCAATTGCTAAAACTTCTGTCCAAGATTTGGTGATTGCTATGGCTTACACAGTTTTGCCTCCCTTCCTAAATCCCATCATATATTGTCTTAGAAACAAGGAGATCAAGACAGCTATCTGGAGGTTATTTCGGAAGAGGGTTTATCCTCTATCAAAATAAAACATAATGTCTTTGATGGTGGAATATATCTAGAAAAGATCATAATTCCTTTATAACAAAATTGATATTGAATGGCAGAAAAATATCTTTCCAGCCTTATATTTAGAATATAATGCAACTGTTTCTTAAAGAACAAAATATGTATAAAATATTTTGAAGTTGTGTAATTGCAACATGCTGTGATGGCACATTGCTTCTTCTTTTATATATCTTCCAAACATATACATGTCTTATATCTAACCTGTATCTATATACTCAACTAATCATGCATTTGATGGAGGAGGGCAAGCATACAGACAAACACACACACATAACATTTATTTTTATGACCTTATCTATCCAATCAGCAGCAGAGAAGCTAAAATAAGTTAGGTAGTTAGCTAGAACAAGAGTAAACATAGTGATTGTTGCTTTTTACATTATATTTTGTAAATATATTTTCTTTCATTTTTAGTTAATTATATATTTCTGTCAGAGAATTAATCGAAGATTCAGCAACACCCTTTTCAGGCATCAATTTTAATGCAATCCTGAAACAAAAAATTCAATTGCATGCTTCAAATAAATGGATCAAACATTCTCAAATTAATATGGACCCACAAAAGACCCCGAATAGCAAAAGGTATCCTAATAAAAAAGGGAAAGGTAGTTTTACACTTTCAGACTTCAAATTATAGAACAAAGTCATAATAATTAAAACAAAATGATATGGGAACAAAAAAGAGAGACAAATGGAATTGAGAATCTAGAATAAATTTAAATATATACATATATATGTATATATATATGTATCTCCACCTAATCTATGACAAAGGAACAAAGAATATGCAATAAGTCATAGAAGCTTCTGTTGCATGCAAAAATAAATTGAAACTAGTTCACTAGCACATACCATAAACACACACAAACACACGTGAAAATGGATAAAAGACTTATTTAAGACCTTCAGCCATAAAATACATAGAAGAAAACATTGGCAAAGCACTCACTCCATTACATAAATTTCAGAGTTAACAAATTCATACATAGAAGCAAGGAAAACAAAAGAGAATATAAACAACTGGGACATCAAACTAAATAGCTTCTGTATAGTGAAGAAGGCCATAACTAACACAAAGAGACATCCTATGGCATGGGATAAAATATTTGCTTTTTATATCTAACAAGGGACTTATATAACAAAGATCTATAAAAATCTAGTACAAATCAACAAAAAGAAAAGTAACCCAATCAAAAAGTAAAGGAACTAAATAAGCACTCCTCCAAAGAAGGAATACAGATGACCAATAGGCTCATGAAAATATGTTCATCATACCACTTATCATCAAGGGGATACAAATCTAAACCATGAGATTCTACCTAATACCAGTTAAAACAGGTCATATTGAAAAGAGAAAAAAGAAACAATAGAAATTGCTGGCAAAAGTATGGAGAAAAAGAGCTCACTTATACTGCTGGTGGGAATGTAGACTGGTCTAGCCCCTAAGGAAAGTAATGTGTAGGTTCTTCAGTAGACTAAAATGGATCTACCAAACCTCCTCGATGTCTAACCAAATAAATACAAACATCTCAAAAGGTTCAAAGAAAACCTGCAACCTTATTTCAGAAGGCACTATTTAAAATAACCAAGATATGGAAACAGATGTCCAAAACAAATTAGTGAATCAAGAAGATGTGGCAAATATACAAAATGGAATACTAATCAGAAATCAATAAATGTAAATTAATGCCATTTACAGAGACAAGGATGCATCTGGAAGAGATAATATTAAGTAAAATAAATCAGAAGGAAGGAGAAATAAATACTGGATTGTATCACTAAGGTGTGGGAATACAGAAGAACCAATCTAAGAACCAGAGAAAGGCAAACTTAAAAGCTAACCCTTGAAAATTATAGCACTGAATAATCCAAAGATGGGATGGATTTAGGGAGGAATAGGAACAAAGATGAAAAGAAGCACAATGGACTGTGGTGGTGGACTATAGGTGATTTGGTGACCGGTACATTATGATGGTGATATCTAATGGAGAGAATCCTAATGTTACCACAATTAAATAATTAATTCTTTTCAACATTAAGAAATGAAAAGTCTTATTTGTGAACTTACCAAAAAATAAATTATTTGAAAAGAATTGATATTAAGAAATGTTTATTGAACAAAGAAAACAATCCAAGTTTCTCTACTTAAATTTTGTAATAATTATTACAATTATAAAAACAAAAACAAGAAAGTGTACAAAACTTGTTTTAATAAACAGTAGTATAAATATTTTTACCTCTATATTCAAGTAACTTACTCCTCACAATATCACTATGGTATTGGCTCTATTCCATCCTGGTTTCACAGATAAGAAAACAGATAGATCTCAAGAACAAAGCCTATACCACATTGCTGAAATTTTCATAACCAAGAATTGGTTCGAATAGTTTGACAGAAATAGAAATTGTAATGTATTCCACAAGTCTGTATAATATTAATATCTGTAATGAATACAAATAATGTTCTCATGTTATTTATATTTCCAGCAAACATTCACTTTTCTTTCATGTTTTCTTAGATTTTGGATTATTGTTGCTAATATATTTAGAATTATTATTCCTATTATATGCGCAATTGCATCAGAAGTTGACATTTTTGGCACCATTCTTACCTGTTATTTCAGATTAATAGTGTGACATAAATTATATACCAATTCTATTCTTCAAATCATTTTAAATAATTATTTTGTTTCTTCAACTAACAAATTTAAAAAAAACACTAGGTCCTGGAGGTCCGGATATAATTTTAAAGAAATTTCCCATTTCCTTTTATGATATTTGGTTTATTCATTTTAAATAAAGTTTTGCATTTTGAAAGTTTCATTTCCATAAAAAGTGTTCTATTTAGGATTTTTAAATGTGTTACTATCTCAATTTACAGCCATTAATTCACTGCTAATTCTTTAAAATTATATGTTCTTAATAAGGCACTGATTGTATTTTTTAGAAGTCTTGTTCTTTTATTTTATCTTTGTGATGATAGAATTTTAAAAATATTCTTTCAGAGGGAATGGTAAGAGAAGGCTAGGAGAATCCTAGAACAGACATTTCTTCCACAGGTACAGTAAAGAATGCCTATATTAGAGCAAATGCTTTAGACAAAGAATTGAGAATTCAAGGGTCAGCATCTCCACAAGGAAATGAGATAGGATGTATTAGCACACGTAGGAAAGCCTGAGACACTGAACACCAGGAATTATATTGTGGATCATATCATAAGACTGGAAAGAACATTAGGGGCATGGAACCTTGTCCTTGGGATTTAAAGACTGACTTCTTTGTGGATGTCTCACCAGAGAGGTGAGTGCCCTTATTCAGAAGTGGAAAAACTTTCCTCTGGAGAACAGGTTGATGAAGGGTATATATAACCAAGTGACCTGCATTTATTAAAACTGAAATCTGTGGAGGATGAAAGGGATATAGTATTTCCCTTAACTGGGAAGATACTTTCTCTTGGTTCCTCTTTGTTTGAATGATGATGGCATTAGGCAGATGACAAAGTGATTAAAATAAGATAAGGGAAAATGGTCAGAGGGAAAAGTAACACAATATTTTTTTGCCAAGACTTTATGAAGCTTATAGTCAACCTGCAAATCTAGAAACATATACCAGCCCATAGTAATTGATGGTGTTTACACACCTGGGGAACATGCTGTGGATCTTCCTGGAAGAAGCATGTAGTCATAAACCCTCCTGAGGTTTCCCATGGCCAGTGCCTACATCCCCAGTGTAGTGCCAGGAAGACACAAAGCTGGTTCACTATGATCCATGCAGATGGGTAAAGGAGAGTCCTGGAGCCCTCAGTGGCTTTTTCAGGCTTTAATTGAGGTTTTACATGTAATGTGGCAGCAAGGTACAAGACAGTACTGGGAGGCCAGGAGGCTGGCAGGACTCTCAGCCCCCTGCAAATTTTCTCTCTTTACTGGGTTCTCTGGCCTCCTACAAGTTTCCCTTGGCCAATATAAATACTGCAGCCATGGCCCACAAAAGTGAATAATACAACTGAAGCAATGTAAAAAAATCCAGGTGCATGCCATCAGGCATGCATTCAGGACTACAGGTATCCATCATCAATCCTAATGGTGGGAGGGCAGAAAAGCCTCATAATCCCTTACCCTACACATGGTAAGACATCAATCAGTCTATGTTCTGTGGACTCCCAGGACTCTGTTGCCCATGGTAACCACTGAGGATACATTTCATACACAAATCTCTGTGGAAGCTGTAGAGATATGATGATTGCCTTGTTTTAGGCCAACCACTGTGTCTTCAGCAGGTACAAGATCAAGTCTCTGGCCTATGGAAGCTAGGAAAGGTCAAAAATCTAAAATCACATAAAAACCAAAGATATAAATTATTAAAAATAATAGAGAAATGTACAATCACAAAATAGATGACAAAAAATAAACACAACACACAGCAAGGGTATACAGTGTAGTAAGTGTATACAGCATATCATATAACCTCAAAGGTATACAGTATAACAAGGAGAGAAACTCCCCAGAGTCCATTCACAAAAATATGGAATAGTTTATCTTCCTATCACATAATTCCTATCAGATTCCAGATAGCCGTATTAAGAAAAGCAAAGAGAGTGATGAAAATTAGAGTTCATCAGAGAGATACAAGAAAACTCAGAAAAACAAATTAATAACCTGAGTGATAAAACTAATTAGCAGAAAATAGAAATTTAAGGTTTATATAAGAAAATAAGAGATTCAGATGGAACACAATAGATGAAATTTTTAAAAAGTTCTTCAAAAAACTATAATTGAATTTACCATGCAATCTAGCAATTCCATTGTAGGTATCTATCCAAAGAACACAAAAACACTAATTGTAAAGAAAACCTGAACTCGTATGGTTATTGCAGCCTTATTCACATTAGCCAAGATAAGGAAGCAAACTAAATTAAAAAAAATAAATAAAAAGCAATAAGTGGATCAATAAGGTGTGTATA